TCTGAAAACAGCAGCTCAGACTGAGGAAGTCTCTTGGATGAGAGACGAAACGTTTCTACATTTTTTTTTGCTTTGTTTTGTTTTTTGTTTTTTTGAATGTCCAGAGGACCAGATTGAACTTTCTTGGATTTTTCTACCTGGATTATTGAGCATGCATCAGGATACCTCCAGCTAAAGGCTCCAGTATACTCCCGCGTCCTGTCAGCCACGCGGAAACTGTGCGCACCGTCCACAGAGGGTTGAGACTTCATGCTCGAGCATCCAACCTGAGCGGTTGCAGAGCAGCTCAGCAGACAAGGGGCGTTTACCTTCAGGACAAATTGAGGTCGCCGATTGGTCATTTGCTGACACTGGATTGATTGACAAGTCAGAAAAAAAAAGAGAGAGCTGGCAGCCCCAGCGGTGTTCTGTTTATATGTTGTTAATAAAAAGTTCTAAAAAATAAATAAAATTATTAAAAAAAAAAAAACAGGGAGTGCTGGCCTTGCAGCCCACACATCAGACCAGCCCACCAGGAAATCTCCAGACCCTCCCGCAGCCGCGCAGGACCTGATTTTAATTTGCTCATAACAAAGTCCTTCATTTCTCACCATTTCAGTCATGGCATCAATGGAGGAGGAAGAGATCACTTGCCTTTTGGCAAAAGAAACAAAAAGAAAATGCCATTAAACCAGATCAGGGATCAAGAAGAGGAATTTAATAATTGTGTTGCATACAAAACAGTCCGTCGCCGGGCAGTTTACTGTGCGACACAGAGTACGCGGTCGTAAAAATTGAGCTTTTGCGCGGACATGCCTTGCGGGCGTCTGCTTCAACTCTAATCTGGTACATGCGGACCTCCACAGACTGACATACGCAGGAGTATACTGCGGGCTTAAGAAGTCTGTAATGACTGAACTTGTTTACTTGGCATATTTTTTGCGTCTTTATTGTACCGAAAATTAACCAAACTGAGCCCTCCTTGAAACTGAACCGAACCGAAATGTGATTTTAGCGTATTGTTACACCCCTACTCCTTCCCCACAAGAGAGGTCACGTTCCATGTCTCAAGAGCCAGCTTTGGTAAGCCAGGGTCAGAGTGCCAAGGCCCCTGCCTTCATCCATTGCCCATGGAGACATGCACCTGACTCATATGGCCCCTCCTGCAGGTGGTGGGTCCACAGGAAATGACTGACATTTATTTTGATTATTATTTTAAACACCTCTTTTGTTTAAGTCTTTGTTTCAAAGACAACACTTTACCCTTCATCCTAGTTATTTTAAATTATCTTTATTTATTTTTTGTCTCTTTAGTCTTTTCTGCTTGTTCTGCACGTTTTAAAGTGTGGCACTAGTTTGATGAAGTTTTGCTTCTCTCTGTAGACATTGTGCATCTTGTTAGAACTAAATGTTGTATCCTAGTCGTTCAGTAACCCTTCAGCAGACTTTCCTTAATGGCAGTGAAAGGTTGCATTAAGGCCTTCTATTTATAACATGATGACAAAAGCTACTTCTTCAACATCAAACATCTGGGCCATATTTCCTGCCTTCGCTGAGTAAATGGGTCATATGACTAACAATGGCTCTGTGTGACAGAGTCAGACATAATGCATCATGAAAGTTTATTTCTTAGGGGCTTCATGACATGAGTTCAGCAGCTCTGTGTGAAGCTCAGTGAACTGAACAGAGCTTTTAAACAAGATTCCTACACAATTAAATTTTTGAAATTCCACACGACCAGATTCAAATTTTCAGACTTTTTTTAGCCACTTTTTGACATCAAAACATTCGTAAATTTACTGTTATTTAACATGTTTGTTTATTTAAAACGATTGAAGGTGATTGTGACTGAATTGTTTTCTTTTTCCATACTTATCCAGACTTGGAATATACCTCATGAATCCTATACAAGTCCCACTTTCAGACTGCATACAGTCCAGGTTTCTGGTGCAGGCTTGTTGTTTTTCTTACCTTCAGTGTTGGCAGAGATGGAGCCGAACTTTAGTTTGAGACTTCCTTGGTTCATATACTGAGCCTTAGGGTGCATTCACACCAGCCCTGTTTAGTCCGCTTTAATCGAACTCTAGCTCATTTTCCTAGAAAGTCCAGTTTGTTTGGGGAGGTGTGAACGCGCCATCAAACTCTGTCAAGGAACAAAAAGGCGAACTCTGGCCCGGGCTAAAACCTAGGTCTTAGTCCGGTAGAACAGAACTCCAGCGCGGTTCGAGTGTAGTGTGAATGTAAACAGACCGGGCCCCGCTCCACAAGCAAGAAGTGGAGTACAACGCAGGGCAAACAAACGCGCATTTCTCTTACCTTATATGGAGCCGTCAGCTGCCTTGTGTGAAAAACAATACTCTCCATGGTCTTCTGCCTTATCTTCTGCTCATGCTGAGTCCATTTTTGAAAAATGACAAAATATAACTCCTAAAACTGCTAAAACTTGATGCCACTCAGTTTTTGTTTTTATTTCCAGCAGAAGTGTCTTCAGAGGTTTTTGTGTTTTCTTTCAGTAGTTCTTGGTACAGCGCCCCCACAGGCGAGCGGGGGAATAGGTTGGTTCAACTGGTTGGCTCAACTGCACAGTGCAGTGTGAATGCAAACGCACCAGCTCAAATGTAAACAAAATGTTATGAATATTGGTCCCCAACCGAACCGAGTCTACCAGACTATCAGGTGTGAAAACAACCTTAATGTGCCCAAACCAACCCATTTTCTGTGTGTGTGTGTGTATATGTGTGTGTGTGTGTGTGTTACATTACCCACCTGCAGTCTTTGGGACCGCATCAGCTCTCAGCTGTTAAGCAAAGATTTTAAGATTTTAGTTAGTAAATTAATTAAAAAATAAAAATAAAATAAAAAATCACACAGGAATAATAAAAGATAAAACAATTGTAGTGCCAAGCATTTACAATAAAAAAACTGAAATAATATTGCAGTCTCTTCCTCAAATTTGACTACTTTGGTTTTTAGAGATTTTATTTGGATCTTGCAAATGAAACTCCATCCATCATCGCAGGGGTGTCAAACTCCAGGCCTCGAGGGCCGGAGTCCTGCAACTTTTAGATCTGTCTCTGATGCCAGACATTCTTTACCACCAGTTCCTGCTGGGTGATCCGACATAGTTCCCAGGCCAAAGAGGATATATAATCCCTCTAGTGAGTTCTGGATTTGGCCCAGGGTCTTTTAACAGCAGGACACGCCCAGTAAACTTCCAAAAGGGAGGTGTCCTGGATGCATCATAATCAAATGTCCAAACTTCCTCAAATGACTCCTTTCGATGCAAAGGAGCAGTGGCTCTACTCCAAGTTCCCAATGGATGATGGAGCTCCTCAAACCATCTCTAAGGCTGAGCCAGGTCATCCTACAAAGGAAGCAATGGTATGTTGGCACCATCCAGTTGAGGTTTCTGATTTGGGTGATGTAGGCAGCTGCCCAGGGCGACATGAGCGTCCGGCCCCGCCTCCAAAAAATAAAATGCATTATTTCATATAGGCTGTCTAACCTACATATGGGTTTCCTATCGCCCACTTGCAGGAAGTGGGTGCCCTCTACCAAGGTATGTAGCCTCTGCTGAGGTCTGACACACAGATTGTGAAAGAAGGGGAGGGGGGTTCTCTCCTCTCCCCTGCTGGGACAGGCATGCATCTAGTAAATCACACCATTGATTGCTCTCAAACAAAGCACATTTTATTCATATTACTGTGAATATAGCCAATAGTTGACAGCTTATTTAATAATAATAATAATAATGTCATCACAATGTCAGCACTGTATGTTTCCATACAATGGCGAAATTAGTCTCTGCATTTAACCCATCCACCACCAGGTGGTGCAGTGGGCAGCTATTGAAAGCGCCCGGGGGACATTTTGGGGATTAGACTGCTGCCCAGAGACGCCATGTGTGAAAACACTGAAAATATAATACAAAAACAAATCTGCAGACTAAGGAAGGTGGATTAGTTTAGGATTAAGTTGTTTTGTCTCATGTTGTGGGATGGTAGCCCACTACTCCTCCCAAGTGCCAATTCCACACTTTCAGATTCAGATTCAGATTCAGTTTATTATTGCCTTTGTCAAAGAACAGGGTTCACAGACTGGGAACTTGATTCGGCATAAAAGGTGCGAATAAAATATAAAAGAAAACATATGTACACCAACCAATACAACACAATACAATACTCAGAAAAAACATGCAAATGGAGTAGTGCAGTTAAAATACAGTGAAAAAGTGACCAAAGCAGAGTTATACAGTAACGGGATTATGAGTGTTCAAGAGTCCAACGGAAGATGGGAAGAAACTGTTCTTATGGCGGGAGGTTCTGGTTCGAATAGACAGAAGCCTCCTGCCCAAGAGGAGTGGTTTAAAGAGTTCATATGCAGGGTGAGAAGGGTCAGCTGTAATCCGCCCTGCTCGCCCCACAGTCCTGGAGATGTACATGTCCTGGATAGATGGGAGGCTACAGCCGATTACCTTCTCAGCAGAGCACACAATGCGCTGCAGTCTGTGTCTGTCCCTAGTGGTGGCCCCGATGTACCACACTGTGATGGAAGAACAGAGGATAGACTCGATGATGGCTGTGTAGAACTGCACCATCAGCTTGGCTTTCCTCAGCTGTCGCAGGAAGTACATCCTCTGCTGAGCTTTCTTGATGAGGGAGCTGATGTTCAGCTCCCGCTTGAGGTCCTGGGTGATGGTGGTGCAGAGAAACCGATAACAGTCCACAGTGATGATGGGGGTATCATTAAGGGCAAGGGGGCGCAGAGGGGCTGTGGCTTTCCTGAAATTCACAATCATCTCCATTGTCTTCTGGGCATTAAGCTCCAGGTTGTTGTTGCTGCACCAGGTCACCAGCCGGTCCACTTCCCTCCTGTAGGCAGACTCATCACCGTCTAAGATGAGCCCAATGAGGGTGGTGTCATCCGCAAACTTAATAAGTTTTACAGAGTCATGGCGGGAGGTGCAGCAGTTGGTGTACAGGGAGAAGAGCAGAGGGGAAAGTACACAGCCCTGTGGAGATCCTGTGCTTCAAGTCCGAGTGTCCGAGACAACTTTCCCCAGCCGCATGCACTAACTCCGATCTGTTAGGAAGTCTGTGATCCACCTGCAAGTGGCGTCAGGTACATTGAGCAGAGAAAGCTTGTCTCAGAGCAGAGAGGGAAGGATGGTGTTAAATGCAGAGCTGAAGTTCATAAACAGGATCCTAGCGTAGGTTCCTGAGGAGTCCAGATGCTGCAGGGTGAAGTGGAGGGTCAGGTTTATGACATAATCTACAGACCTGTTGGCTCTGTAGGCAAACTGCAGAGGGTCCAGGACATGGAAACTGACACATGGAAGATGAACAAGAACAGGTCAAAGCCATCATGTGCTCAGTTCAGGAAAAAGAGAAGAGGAGAAACATGTCAGGGGAATTTAGGCAAATGTTATGCATGTTTATCACTAACTAATGTTAATGTTGAACCATGAGTGTGAAGTGTGGGTCAGAGAGTCTTTTGTATGCTCAGAGATGAGCCTGCAGGTGCACCTGATAAACTCCCAAGGCCTTCTCTGAGTCTGAAAGCTGGAAAGTCGAGGTTGTCTTGACCTCGCCTCTGTTTGATAAGCGTGGATTTTAAAACACTTCCTGCCTCACTGTCCAGTGCAGATTCTCACTGACGAGGCTCTAAGCATGTAATTTCTGTGAAAGCCAGTGTGAGCTCTACCCTTGTACAAACCGGATTCTAAAAAAGTTGGGACACTAAACAAATTGTGAATAAAAACTGAATGCAATGATGTGGAGATGGCAAATGTCAATATTTTATTTGTAATATAACATAGATGACAGATCAAAAGTTTAATCTGAGTAAATGTAACATTTTAAAGGAAAAATATGTTGATTCAAAATTTCACAGTGTCAACAAATCCCAAAAATGTTGGGACAAGTAGCAATAAGTGGCTGGAAAAAGGAAATTGTGCATAAAACGAACAGCTGGAAGACCAATTAACACTAATTAGGTCAATTGACAACATGATTGGGTATAAAAAGAGCTTCTCAGAGTGTCAGTGTCTCTCAGAAGCCAAGATGGTAAAAGGATCGCCAATTCCACCATTGTTGCGCAGAAAGATAGTGCAACAATACCAGAATGGTGTTACCCAGCGTAAAATAGCAAAAACTTTTAAGTTATCATCATCAACCGTGCATAACATCATCAAAAGATTCAGAGAATCTGGAACAATCGCTGTGCGTAAGGGTCAAGGCTGTAAAACTCATGTATGATCGTTCAGCAAGGGAGAGAAGATTTAAAGCGGGTCAAAAAGTGCTTGTAATGTCGCCGACAAATGATAGCAAGCTACTAGCAAAGTGGCAGGGTCCCTATGAAGTGCAGAAGAAGCTAGGTCCTACCACTTATCAGGTTGCCACCCCAGGGCTCCAACGGTCCACTAAAGTGCTTCATGTAAATCTGCTTAAGGAGTGGGTCCCATGAGCTGAAAAAAGAGCAAAGGTCTTGTTTATCCAGCATGTGGGAGAGGATGAAGAAACTGATCAATACTTACCATCACAATCTGCCTCCAATGTGGATTTGACCCACCTCATGGGTGAACAACGGCATGAGGTAAATTGTCTTGTTACTTCAGATATATTCCAAGAATATCTAGGCCGCACCAATTTGGTAGAACATAACATTGTGCTTCAAGAAAAGGCGCAAGTCAGACTCATGAGTTACAGGGTGCCTGAACGTCTTCTGGGAGCATTGAAGAAAGAAGTGGACCTCATGCTATCCCTGGGAATCATTCGGCCCTCAAAAAGTGAATGGTGTAATCCAGTTGTTCTGTCTCCCAAGAAAGATGGCACCATAAGGTTTTGCATTGACTTCAGGTATCTTAACTCTGTCTCAAAATTTGATTCATATCCTACTCCACGAATTGATGAACTCGTGCAGCGTCTGGGAAAAGCTAAATATCTAACTACAATTGATCTCTCTAAGGGCTATTGGCAAGTTGTTGTCAGTTAAGAGTAAAGGGAGTTAACAGCATTTCACACCTCAGGAGGGCTGTTTGAGTTCACTGTTCTGCCATTTGGTCTACATGGAACCCCTGCCACTTTCCAAAGACTGATGGACCAGGTACTTTATGGTCTGGCTGAATATGCCTGCACTTATCTCGATGACATTACAATTTACAGTGGAACTTGGAAAGAACACATTAAACATCTAAGGATGGTTTTGGACCGACTGAAGTTGGCTGGCCTCACAATCAACCCAGCAAAGTGTTCCCTGGCCAAGACGGAGACGCAGTACCTTGGTTTCACAGTTTGAGGTGGGGTCATAAAGCCACAAGTTGATAAAGTCAGAGCTATTGCATCTTCTCCTCTTCCACAGACTAAAAAGCAGCTGAGATTCTTCCTTGGGATGGCTGGCTTCTACAATCGCTTTATTGCAAACTTTTCAGCCAGAGCAGCTGCCTTGACAGACTTGACAGGTTCACGGTGCCCGAACAAAGTACAGTGGACTCCCAAAGCGTTAGCAGCTTTTCGAGACATTCAGCAATCCCTGAGTAAGAATCCAGTTCTGCATAGTCCAGATTTTGAAAAGGATTTTGTACTGCAAACTGATGCTTCTGAAAAGGGTGTAGGAGCAGTACTTCTACAGGGACCACTGGAGGACCAGCATCCCATAGCCTATCAGTCGCAAGCTACTACCCAGAGAAGAACGCTATGCCACAGTGGAGAAGGAAGCCTTGGCTATCAAGTGGGCGCTCGATTCCTTCAAATACTATCATCTTGGGAGAGAGTTTATCTTGCAGACTGATCACA